CTTCTTCAGAAAAAAATTTCTTCTCCAATTTAATATCTTTGAGCAGTGTTGTAAATATCTGAATACAGCAGGAAACGCAGTAAAAGTTTCTGCATAATTGATCTGTCTGTATTTCCTACAATCAGCATACCAACAATTTTTTGGTAAAAAAAAAAAGCATCTTCTTTTTCTAGACAGGAATCAGATATAGTTCTCTTTCAGCAACTGACCAACTCTTTCTCCTCCTTCTCCTCCTCCTCCTCCTCTATAGCTCTCCTTCATCTTGAAGGAAAAAATTTTTGCCCAATTTTATATCTTTGTGCAGTAACGTAATTCATGAAGCATTCATCCCCAACTGCCTTTTTTTCTCTATTATAGTCATATGAAACAAAAAAAATTTTAAAAAAGCAAAAAGTTTGTTCAACTAATAATAACACTTAAAAGTTTTTTCACTGCAACATTTCCAATTTTACTCCAGTAAAAAGAACAAACAGAAGAGAACAGAACAGAACGAAACAAAAAAAAAGCCTGATAAAGTATTAATATTCCATCAAATTGTATGTATCAATTTTTTGTCGTTCTTTCAGCATTGTTAAATTGACAATTTTTTTTGCTTTGAAAAGAAAAGAAAGCAAAGAAAAAAATGGCAAAAATTTTATATCATTTTCCTTTTCGTAAATCACGTTATCCCTTTCTTTTTTATTTTCGTATTTGTAAATAAAAAATTTTCCCTTTTTGATGACATTTACCATTGCTACTGATCAGTTTCATCATTATTTTCAATTCTACATTTTTATGCATCAAGCTAGATTTTTTCTTTTTTTTTTTTTCAGTATGACTATCCGTCGATTGGGTTAAGCTAAATATCATCATCAAGCAGTTCGTCAACAATTGACGTCCGAAAAAAAAGTGTAGCAAAGAAAAAAATACTAATTCTTTAAACAACACACTTTTAAATCGTAACAGCAAAAAAAATGCTAAAAAACTAACTAAAAATTTTAGTTGTTTGCAGTTAAGCAAGAAAAGACCAAGTACACAAATTCAGTAAACCAAAGATCCCAAATCTAAACTGCTGAGGACTACCCAAATAAAACAAAGCTCTTTGAAGAGTAACCATCGTCAGAGTACCAACAACAACAGAATGCAATAATTAAAAAAACTAAACAGACTGTCAAATGATTCACCAGGGTAAAACACAAAAAATCCCAATAATAAGTTCAAATTTAAGAACCATTAAATGTTACACCTATTATCCCAACTGCATGAATACTGTAGAAAAAAAACAATTTTTAGCTAAAATTTATAATAAATGCAGAAAAAAAAGTACCTGAGTCTTAAATTTTTTTTGATCTTCTCACATTTTTATTTCACAATCAACAGCTTAACTTTTTCTAGTCATTCCTCCTTCCCTTTCCACATACCAAATTATCCACTTTTCAGTTTTTTCGTACATTAGAAATCATGAGAAACAAATAAATGAAAATTTATTCATTTTGCTTAAATTTTCTTTCTGTACTTTTTTTTTGTACCAATCAATAATTGTTCGTTGTTCAGAGTCACAAAATTGTTTAATCAGTAAACAAATGTAACGTTTGAACATTATAGCTCAAGTGCTGATAACTTCAAAAAATACTTTTAGCATAAACAAAGAAAAACTAAAATACATAAATCTTTACCTAAAATCACACACAAATCTGTGTTTACTACTCACACAAACAAAACCATCTTCATCAGTATTAGCAGACTATGGCGAACACGCGTATTTCCAACCCACTCAGCAAGAAAAAAAAAAAATCGAAAAAAACCAAAAGGATTTGGTGTCACTGAAATATGCGATGTCTGAGAGCAGCAATCATCCTGTTCTCTGGACACCATTCTTCGGACCAATACCCGTTATGTGATCAACATTACCGGTATCCCCCTTCCCAGCTCCCCTCGCCCCCGCCCCACTAGCCTTCTTCCTTCCCGATCTTCCTAAATTCTTCCTGTGTAAACATGAAAATCAAAGCACATAAAACTTAATAATCAGGCCATTTTTTTTGCTTGAAGAATGCTACAAAGACGTCTTGTGTATAAGTATTTTTGCTTAACAGTTTTGTCTACGACCAAATGTTTAAAACTATACATAAAGTTTAAAATCGAATGCAGAAGTCGTATGAATTACCGTTTGATCATCATTACTGGATCGTTTTCGCTTATTTTTTGATAATCCTGTTGTAATTTTTGTTTGCACTTTTCCACTTTTGTTTTGCGCATAATATGCACGCCATATTTCTGCTGACATCAATCGAACATTCATCGGATTTTGCTAAAAAACAAATCAACAAATAGTTTTCACTTTCTGTTTGTACAAAAAATCTGAAATAAAAAGAAAAAAATGAGCATAATATTACGTACACATTAAATACATTTAAATTATAAAAACAATAGAATGTTATTGTCCTTTTTTTCGGCGGTGGCGTCTAAAAGTATCAATGGTTGAATAAATACCCGAATAATAATTCAATTATTAAAAGTTCCAGTAATACAGTACAGTAACACTACGTATATGTCATTTTGGATATGTCTGTTCGTAAGATTACGAAGAAAAAGTAGAAAGAAAAAAATGACGTAAATAACAAAAAGGAACCTAACGAAAGAGAACAAAAAGTAATAAGAACAATGATAACAGTTCCTTCTGTTCTTGGCACTCCAACTTAATTTCAGAATCTTCAACTTTTATTCCGCTTGTGTGTGCTTCCACTCCGTCACCATTCTTTTTTTCCATCTTCACAATATCCTACATCCCACCTCTCATCTCAACAACTTAGTCCTTTGCTTTCCGATCAATCAAACAAGGCTCTGATAGACAAATAAATTTATTCTTGAACCCGTGAAGCTAAATAGCACGAAACAGTCCACTGCTATAGATCAAATGGAAAAAAATGTTGAGAACTAAAAAATTATCGTTATGCAACGGAGGAATGTCAGTTGCGGTTTACACGTCTCAACAAAAAAAAAAAACGCATTTGATTCCTTTTCAAACGCAGAAAGCAGAGCTAAAAAACTAGAGAAAAAAACTGTTTGAAAAGCAACAAAACTAAACGAAATTTTGGTCTGAAAAAGTGAAGAAAAAAAGTTGATCAAATATCAAAAGTAAAAGCAGAACTAAAAAAACGAAAAAATAACCATAGAAAATAAATAGAAAAAAAAAAAGAAATTTCACAAATAGACAATATTTACTGAAAGATTTTATGCTTGTAAATTTTTGAAAATTTGAACAATGTGAACTTCTTTGTCCGTCGTCAAACAGCTTTCACTGAAAGTTATCAACAACAAATTAGTTACTTCGTTGCTCATGCTGACCAAAACAACGGTAATCCTACAGTGCTTCACAACTTTTCTCTTCTGCAATCAATAGACTATTCATTCTTTTTTTTATTTCAGTAAACTATTCATAAAAATTCTTTTTTTCTTTCTCATTTGGAAGGGTGTTGTTATCGTTGCTGCCGGGCTGTTGTGGTTGCTAAACTTTTTCTGCAGAATGTTTATTGTCTCAAACGGACGCACTAACGACGACGACGATGGCAATGCAGATAGCGATGATGCCACTACTGCAAATGCAGCTCACGATGCTGCTGATGATGTTTGTTGGTAAAGTGTACTGTTGTACAATGATATCAGTTCAAAGAAAGAAAAAAAGAATTGAATTGGGAAAAAAAGAAAGACCACTTAAGGACACAGATTTTTGTTCAGTTAAAAACAATAACGTAATCGATGATCTGCAGTTCTTCTGTGGCAGTAGTGAAAAAAGAAATTTTAATTTTACTACACAGCAACAAACAAAAAAGAGGAAAAAAATGCAAAAGGAATTTAGTATGTTCTGAGCAAAAAGGAAAGAGCAGAAATTGAAGATAAAAAAAATGATTTCAACATCAATGAAAAATGGATTTGAATGAATTGAAGACTTCTTTTTGGCTCTCACAACCAATTTGTTCCCTCCTTCTCCACTTTTTTCGCTCTTTTTGATCAAATATCGCAAAAAAAGCCCAAAAACCACTTATAAATAATTAGATTTTCAGACTTCTTCTTTGCTCTTTTTTTCTTAGCTATTCAACCCATTTCCCCTTACTCCCCTCCAATCCTTTTTTCATTCTACCCTTATCATAAATTCCACCTTTGTTCCCTTCCTAAATCATTTTCCACCAGTTCAATGTCCCTTTGACACTATCAAAAAAATAATAAACAGCCAACCACTGCAATCATTTTCACTTTTCCCACCAAAAAATCCACCTTTGCTTCTCCGTCTTTCTTCGTAATTCACCCCAAATTAAATACTGTCAGGCAGAAGAACACTGGTCCATAGCCTCCGCCCTCGTCGCAGTAATCAGCCTGCTACGCTGAACGGGTTGCAATGCGAGCCGCTGTACAGCTTCTGAGAAATATAGAGTAACTGTACATAACTTCTGGTGTAGGAGAGGGAAAAAAGGAGAAAAAGTAAAACGAAACAGAAGGCAGTAGTAAAAAACAGAAAAATGAACTGAAAATGTTTCACAAATAAATGGCCAAGCAAAATTTGAAAAGTGAGCACTATTTAGAGTACCATCAGCAAAAACAGTAAAAAAAATGCGGAAAATAACTGAAAAAATAAAAAGAAACAACGAAATAAAAATTGGAGATATTAAAAGAACAGATGTATTGATATGAAAAACGGATAATGATAAGCCGTTTATAGGAGCAAAAAAAAGGTACTTTTTCGGATAAAACTCTTTAACGAATACAACTCAAAAACCTACCAAACCACTGCTGTTTGGTCTCTCGAACTGTGAATCGTCGTTCTTGGATGTTGAAGCACAGGAAACTGGTAGCATACTCTGCGGAAGAATAGCCCCGCAGTCTGCAATGACAGTGTTTTTTCTTTCTCTTTTTTCGATTTTTTTGTACCACAAAAATAAGCAAAAAGAATCAAGCAAAATGGCGCAGAAAAAAAATGAAAAAGAAAAAGAAAAACAAATAGAACATTTTGTTGTTGTTGCTCTGTAAATTTTTTTTCTGGTGAATTTTGCTGCCGTCATCAGTACCATTTTGGTCGACAATTTAAATATTGCAGAAGAAACAAACAAATAAACAACATAAGAAAAAAATCCCAGAATATTTTAATGAAAATTTTTCAACCACATGTAAAAAAAAAATAAAAAAAAAACAGAAAGATTATAACTGAACAGCTGCATTTGGACTTTGAACATTTCTTGCACAAAATACACTAGCCAAGGAAAAAAAAAAACTGCGGTGTCTTTTTCGCTTTCTATTATTCTCCTATTCCTATTTTTCAACTAATCTGTCAAAACTGTACAACTGTTCCCCCGTATCGTCCCCCTGTACCCTTCTCCATTACCGCACTTCCTACTAAAACTGTCCCAGTTTTGCACCGCTACTCGAAAAAATTTGCTCTTCTCCTTAAACTTCCTATTCCTGTTGGTTATTATTGTTCCTTTTCCTGTCTCCAAAACAGACAAAATCGACCATCATTTAATATTGACGTAAAACATCAGAAATTGTTGCTTTCATGAACCGTCATTCTGGTTACGACTTGAGAGCAACTGTAAAATAACAAATCTACTCCTCAGTTCACGCTATTGTCAACACTATATTGCCACTGTTGCTTCACTTTATCACCTAACCACCGATATACTGTTCTGCTTTTGTTCACTGGCAACTAAAGTCAAACAAATACTTCAACGCAGTCCTGTTCGTAATTTTTCAGTAAATTCGAGTCCAACGTGTCACATAAACATGAAAAGAAAAAACCGGTGTCATCATATCCGCACCCCCGCTTTTCTCCTCCCTATCATTTTCAACGTTATTAAGACAGAAACAAGTTTAGCGTATTAATAGAGTAGCCTTTGGTAATGCTAACAACAAAAAATAACCATTAAACATGTACTTTAGCCGCGATATCAACCCTATTGGTCATCAACACCACAAACTGTAATGAAAAAAAAAGTGATACTGATTAAAGTGCAAAAAAAAGGCAACAAAAACGCACTAATGTAATACAACATTAATAATCACATAAGCATTGAACTAATAGTATAATGGTTATAATTAAAAGCAAAAAAATGATAAAAATGAAACACATATAGAGCAGGTTAAGCAAGGAAAATTCAATTGTGAGCAAAACTATTCACACCCATTCTTCTTCCATCCGGTACTGCTATCATTTATCATAAGAAAAGCGAGAAAAAAGACGAAAAAAAAAAACGAAGCACAAAAAATATTGACCAGAATTCAGTACAGCAAAACAAAAATGACAGAAAAGAAGGAAAAAACCTGTAAAGAAGTAATATTTTTTTGGTTTCGTTTTTTTTCTCTTTTTAGATGTCATTAATTCATTTGTATGCAAATTCTATGCCATTTTTGGTTTTATTTCTTAGAACCTCTTTTTTAGTTTATCATTTGCCTTGTTGCTATTCTTACTGTTTTTGTTGTTGTCGGTAGTGGAGATGCCGGTAAAAACGATTATGTCGATGGTGATTACTTGTTGATCTGTTCATCTAAACTACAAATGTGTCCCTCACCTTGACAAAATTGACAAAAAAAGTTACACCGAATTCCATTTGTCTTAACAATTCTGCAATTCAGTTTTTACTTAGAAGATTCTAATAATCATTTTTGCAAAAAAGAAATATATATA